CCCCCTGGGACCCTCTGGGTCTTCAGCTTCCCTGTCTGGGAAATGTGGGGTCTTCTGGATGTTGGAGGTCCTTCTTGCAGGAAGGTGGGGGCCGGAGGAGACTGGAGGCTATGGACAGCCAGGATAGCCCGGGATGTCTCCTTGCTAGTGAGTTGTCACCTGGGGTAGGCTTTCTGGGGGGAGGGGGTGGGCAGCGGGGTGCCCCGCCGGGCGAAAGTTTGGGCTGAGCCCCACGGTGACCTTTAACCCCAAACAAACTTTCCCCGACTCCCCTGCCCGGGTGGGGACGGAACCCCGGGCCGAACCGGGAGAACCCAGTGGAGGGCGCGGGCAGGGCTCCCTCAGGTCCCACCCCGCGAGGAGGTTTTAAGGCGCGGTCTTCCCAGCTGCCAGCCCGGACTCCCGCTCTCCTTCCTGGGCGCTGTCCGAGGCCCTTAGCCTACCTGGGGTCCCCGAGCACCTGACTGAGCGACTACTCTGCCACGCCTAGGGTTCCGGGCACCAGGCCACCCAGAGCACCTGACCACCCTCTGCTCGGCCTAGGAGCCCGGGGCCCCTGACTGCCCTGTAGCCGTACCGAGATCCTTGGTGGTGTATTGGTTAAGAGTTGGGCTCCTAATAGCAAGGTCAACCGTTCGAAACCCGCAGCCGCTCTGCGAGTAAGAGGCTTTCTACTCCCACAACGATTTACAGCCTCGGAAGCCCGCAGGGGCAGTTATCCTGCCCCGTAGGGTGGAACTACCCTGCCCTGTAGCGGCGCGCAGTGGGAAAGGACCGACAGACTGACAGCAGAGAAGGTCCCGGTGCACCGCACTCTGCCCTACCTAGGGTCCCGTGCCAGACTGCCTGCCCTGCGCCATATTTCAAACAGGACTTCGGAGCAGTTCATTCTGGTTGGACCGCCCTTGTGGAGAATTTGCATTTCCACCCCAGATGTAGGGAATTGGAACCTCCCTTATAACCAGGCCCCCAGGAGAATGACTCGCACGTGTGCCAGAAGGCCAGGGCGGTGGGGGGTGGGTCTAATAAAGTGCCCATTCCTGCGCACCCCGTTCAGTGGAAGTGGGGCTGCATGGCCCGCTTTGAAGGCCTGGTTTCCAGTGAACTTTGCGTTAATAAGGTGCTGCCTGCAGATCTGTGCAGAAGGCAGCTGGCAGTCAGACTTGGCAGATCAGCTCTTACTCATTACGGGAAGGATGGAGGTTTTTTGCGGGGAGGGACAGAGATTCAGCCTTCACTTTTTGGCATTTTCTCCCTGCGCCCTCTGACCTACCTCCTCCCACAGGAGTGCCCACCCAGCACCCGAGGGTCTACAGCATGCACAGTCGAGATGTCACCCGGTACCCTGCCAACTCCATCGTAGTCGTTGGTGGCTGTCCAGTCTGCAGGTAGGCCTGGGGCCGGGGGGCTTCAGGCAGGTAGGCCTGGGGGAGTGGGTGGTCTGGGCTTGGGTTGGGGTCCCCCATGGGGATGAGGACCCACTCCTGTGTGAGTGCCTGCTCTCTGGAGGTTGGGAAAGTGCTGTCACCCCCAAGGGGGGCAGGTGCCACGTGGGCTCTGACTGATGGCCAGCCTTTCCATCTTGCTTTGGGGACTAGGCCTTTCTTGTTCCTCCGGGACAGCTGTGCTTGCCCTACAGCTGTTTCTGGAAGGTGGGAGGAGGGGTTGCTTTGCTGGCCCTTTGGGGCCTGGAGACTGGAGAGTTGGGGTTTTTGATGGCTGGTGTGTCCAAGGAGTGGGGTGTCCGGGAGTCCAGTGTGGGGCAGCAGCTTGAAGGCGGCGTTATCCTGAGGGAACCCCAACTGCACAGTCAGAGGACAGCTGCTTGGGTCTTGTATAAACTTGGTGATGACTTCTCATGGCTCAAGGGGGCACCTGGATGTTTTGTGCGGCTCTTGGGGAGACAGGTTCAAGGTAGACCTGGGGCTGGGCAAGGCAGAGCTGGCCAACCTGAGGAACACCCCCAGCCCCCGCAATAAATCTGGCTGTTCATTTTATAAGCCCAGGGTCCAGTCAGAAGATGAGATGGTGAGGTGGGAGCCACGTGTGACAGGGGCTGTGGGATGGAAGAGCCACAGGGAGCCGTTGTCACACCCAGGTTGATTCCCGGCTGGGGGGTCACTGCGCAGCTGATTGGGGACTTGGAGAACATGGAGGCTCAGGGTGGAAGGGAAGGGGCTCTGGGACTGCTGAGGGAGAGCTGGCTCCTCCATGGTCGGATCCCTTTGGGGGTCTGGTGGCCGAGGTGGGTGATGGGTAGCCTGGTGGAGCTGGGGGGTCTGAGTGGTCTTCGAGTTTTGGGAAGGTCCTGAGGCTGCTGGCTTGAGGGGGAAGGAGCCTGGGACCCGAGTCAGCTGCCCAGTCCTGGTCACCCGGTCCCTCCTGCTGGAGATGCTGAGCTCTGGGCCCCCCCGGGCACCCTCTGGGTCTTCAGCTTCCCTGTCTGGGAAATGTGGGGTCTTCTGGATGTTGGAGGTCCTTCTTGCAGGAAGGTGGGGGCCGGAGGAGACTGGAGGCTATGGACAGCCAGGATAGCCCGGGATGTCTCCTTGCTAGTGAGTTGTCACCTGGGGTAGGCTTTGCCTCTCCGGTCTCCAGGAAGAGTCCTTGCCCTGACCAGGGGGCTCTTCCACATGGAGCTGGCTCTGAGGCGCTCTGTCTCCTCTCTCTGAGCACAGCTCCCAGCCCTTCACACGCCCTTCACACGCCGACTTCCGCTGCAGTGTGGGGGGGCCCCCAGAGATGCCCCTTGCCCTTAGTTCCCTTGCGAGCTCCAGGGGAAGGAGTGTTGCCCTGGGGCCACCTGGTCTCTGGAAGAGGACCTGGGGCAAGTCCTCAGAGAACAGCCCAGTCGGCCGCTGCTGGCTTCTTGGGGTTGGAGATGGGCCCTTGGCCAGCGTGCCAGACCCGGGTGCTTGGCAGGGCTGGGCAGAAGTCACACGCTGGCTGCCGTAGTTCCACTGAGTGGGGCTTGGCTGGCGGGTGCCTAACCACTGCCGGCTGGCAGCCAGTGACTCCACCTTCCCGTTTTAGCCTCTTTGAAGAAGGTATGACTCCCTGACCTCAGTGCTGGCTGGGGGGTATAGATGCCCCCTGACCCCAGGCTTGGGGGAGAGGAGTGGCCCAGCCACACCCAGAGGTCACGGACTGTGGTTGCTGCTGGTCAAAGCGGTCAGGGAGTATACGTGGTTGGCGCCCTGGGAGGTGGGGGTGGGCAGGCTGTTGTCTGAGACGGGGTGGCAGGAGGGACTGACAGCATGGCGTCTCGGGTAGAGGTGGGGGTGGGCAGGGGCTGTGCCCTGGGGGCTGTTCTACCAGCTGCATCCACACCTCTTGCCTCCTGGGCACCCTTGCCTGTGGGGCTGGGGCCCTGCCCGGCCTTGCCACACCCCTGAGTTTGGAGAGGTGTTGCTAGTGGCCCTGGAGACTCCCTCCCGGCTTGGTGAGGAGGACTCGAGGGGCAGGCCAGTCACCAGGAGGAGCCGGAGAGTCCATGGTGACCCTGGGTTGGCCTCCGAGCTGGTTGGCAGCCAGGTGCACGTGAGCATGGCCAGGTTGGTGATCCCGGCTGCTGTGGCTGCCCCTAGCTCTTAGGCTGTGCCAACCTATTGGCCTCCTGGGCCCCTGGGCCCAGTCCTCAACCTGGGGCAGTCTGCTGGCCAGGCTAGTGCAGGGCAGCGGCCTGGTGTGTAGGCTTCCAAAGGGCCCGGAGTGGTTGCCTGTGCTAGAGGGTTCCCCCAGCTTCTGGAGGAATTGCCGGGGAGGCTGTTCTTAGCTGCCTGCCCCTCACCCCTGCAGGAGGCCCTTGGGAAGTAGGCCCCTGGGGCGCCCCCCAGAGGCAGGCAGGCACACTAGCCCTCTGCAGGGAGGGGAGGGGTGCCAAGCAGAAGCCAGGAAGGGATACCCGGCCGCGGGAGGGCTGGGGTTCCTTTGCCAGCCATTATCTCCCCCTGGTGGGGTGGGGTGGGGGGTGGGGGTGATTCTGGGAGAAGTGATCTGGTAGGTGCTAGGAGGAAGGCCAGCCGCTGCCCTGCCTCGTCCCCCAAAACTGCATACAGACACCTCCCGGGAATGCCTGTGACCTGAGCTTCCACCCTCTGGACCCGAGCCCCCCTGGGCCGGGAGAAGGGGAGCCTCCAGGGTGGGGTGGCAGGGATGAGGGCCTTCCTGTTCCAGGACTGCAGGGTGAGGGACACTCAGGGCCCATGGTGTTCTCCTGGGCCCCTACGGCCCCCTCCTTCCCAGAACGCTCCCAGGCTGGCCCGTGGTTCTGCTCACTGGGACAGCCCCACAGGGCAGCTGGTCAGCCACTTTCTCTGCAAGGTTCCCGTCAGAGATTAGGGAAGTGTACTCAGAGTGGGTTCCCCAATTTCCACTGCTCCCACAGTGTCCCCACATGACCCCTCGGATTGTGCAAGCCTGGCGTGGGCGTCACCTGCAGAGCCCAGTGAGGAGAGGCAGAACTTGGCCAGTCCACTGAGGGGCTAGGGGCCCAGTCAGCCGCTGGCCCTCATCCACTGCGGCCCCAGGGCTGTGGCTCGTGGTTTGTTTGTTTTTCTGAACAGGTTCCCGTCCAGCCATGTCTATGTGGTTTGTCCAGTGGCCTCAGTTACATTGTTGTGATGTGTCAGCGTTCCCATGACTTCCTTTGGGGCCTTCCAGGGCCTCTGATCTCATGTAGGAAAGCCTTTGGAGCACAGCAGCCACGGCCGGGAGCCACTTGATGGTTTAGCTAGACAGTGACCTTGGAGGATAACTTCTGTCCAAGGTTGGACGAGTGTGTCAGGGCCATAGTCTCAGGGAGCCTCCAGCCTCCACCTGCCCGGGAAGTCTACACTACAAACCAGCACAGCTGTGGACATACAGGTGAATCCATTTGAGCCACTCTGGGACCACGTTTGTCCCTCTCTCAGGATCTAAGGCCTTCCTAGTCAGCAGGTTAGGAGTGACCGTGGGCCGCCATCTAGTTCTTCTGGTCTCAGGACAGGGAGGCCGGGTGTCCTGCAGACTGTCTGTCCTGCTGACCAGTTTCTCGTCTGAGCCATTGGTTTTTCTTCAGTTTCTCTCACCCTGGAAGCCCAGAAACCAATATAGGAACACCTCCCCCGAGCCCCGCCTTTTGAAACTTCCTTTAAGTCCGCACTTCGCTTTTACAAAAGGGGAAACTGGTGTCAGGTGCATGTTCCTTGGGAGCATCGAGTGCGGCAGCCCTCAGCGGCTCCTCTGGGCACCACGATCTGCCTGGAGCCGCTGTCTGAGCACTCCATAGGTTTCATGTGTTGTCTGATCGCATAGAGTCATTTCGGGGTTTGGGAACACCCGTGTATTTCCCTCCTTCAAGTTTTAGGCAGGAATGCACCGTATGTGGGCCTCGGGGAAACCTGTGGTTGTGTCCTAGGCGGCCGACTCCCGGAGTTTTGGTGGGCCCAGCCTGGAAGGAGCTCAGGTAGTTTTCAGCTCAGCAAGCCTTGGTGCATCCTTGTCTGTCAGAGTGGGGACACCGGTGCTGCTGCAGCTGAATGGGCATGTCCACGGGATGGGGACGGATTTGATGATAAATTGCCACACCACCCAGCTTTGCAACAAACTCAGGGCCCCGATGGCCTTTGGGATTTTGGGTGGGGTGTGATGTGTCCTCGCAGTCTTGACAGCCTGAGGCTGTGTGCTTTGAGGGTCATCCACACGTGCCTGGCAAGTCTTTGCCTGCTCCCCAGGGCCTGCTGAAGCCCCACGTTCTCTGGGAGGGTGTGGGCTTCGGGATCACCGAGACTTGGCACAGAGTCCACGCCAACTCCCTGGTGTTCCTGGAGGACATGGGCTCTAGCTTGGTGTGGGCAGCGCAGCTGCCAGTTCTGCGAGGTGAGGGGGGTGGGTCTGGGTGGACTACACTCCTGGCCCCAGGTGTCAAGAGTGGGTGCTTGGACCTGGTTTCTGGCCCATTTCTCATTTGCTTCAACTTGCGTTGGTGGGCCAGGATGGGGCTCAGAGCTTGTGAGTGTCCAGCCCAAGCCCCGTGCCCCTCTGGGAGTGGACTCGCTGGAGGCGAGGTGAGCACTGGGACACTCCCGGTGACTAGTGTGTGTGCACAGCAGTTGTGACCTCTGTCACCAGACTCAACAGGACAGACAAGCACGGGGCCCTCTTGGCTGACTCATGAGCAGGCTGCTCACTTCATGTGAAGGCGTCTGTATTAGTCTAGGTACTTTAGAGAAACAAATCCACAGCAACTCATATATAAGAGAGTTTTATGTAAAGAAAGTGTGCATCACGAAAACATCC